GGGGGAGGGGAGGAGTGTCCAAGATCTATTCTTCAACAGATCGCGGAAACTTTGTTATATAATTTTGAATGTTTATAATTGTGCAATTACGATCAATTTTCCGTGTGAAGGAATAGAGATTTCTCTTTCCACTGAGATGACTTGTTCACTCTTCCACGGTAAATTTAAAATTTTATCCATTAAAAAATCGCTGAGGGTGGTGGCAGAAACCGAGAAAGTGGCAGTAAACTGAACAAAAAGGACATTGACGATACCTGAACTAAAATTCGAAATGTTCATTGATTTTTTCATCAAATTATGAATGACGAAAGTGCACTAACAAAAATTTCCACTAAGAGAAACATCGACATAATATCACAAAAATCATTTCTTGAGCGAAAAACATCGCATACATATCTGATCAATTTATGGTAGGTTTCAGACAAGAAATCGGTGCTCTTCGGGCTAAGGAGGAAGTTACTAAATAAACAGGTGATTTCTTTTTTCGCAATGAGATGATATTCCTTTAAAGACAAGAATAGTTTCACAAAATGAAAAGAAGATATTGCTTCCCTTCGAACTCAAAGCGATTGAGCGTAAGCGACGGTTATATTTTTTTAATATCGGCAGGTTTTCCTCTACATAAACTCTCATTCATTTAACATGAAAGTCTCCGATTCATGATTCACTGAATCGAAGCTTTTAATATTTTTAATCATTTTCTCATCTTCTGACACGAAAAAACCGCTTTCTTGCGGCAAGAAATTCTCACTGTATCATGAAATGTTCGTGTTCAAATCATGAACACTTCACCGAAATCTGACATTGTTTGACACATTACCCGGAATTCTTATCTCAAGAAATTTATCCTCAAGAGATGAGATATTTGGCGCAAGAAATTAGTTTTGTGACATTATGACGATATTTCTCTCAGTGTACGAGTGTAGCTCAATCTTCAATAACAAATCTCAGAAGAGAATGATAAGTACTCATTCTTTCTCTTAAAAATAGCATCACCTCGAGCAATTCTAAAGTCAGTTGTCTAATCACCACAACAAAACCTCCAAGAAACAACAAAAGTGTCGCCCTCGGGCCTCGAATCACCGTTCTTCCTCACCTAAAAAAGAAGAATATTCAAAAACAACCTCGAAATAATACAATTGTACGTTACGGCAACTCCCGTTACTCGCGCTCCCTTTCAACGGTGTTCATCCCTCCTCTCTCGTTTCACCAAGGAATCCTCGTTCCACGAGATCCTCAGCCTGACATTGATGTACGGAGACCCCAAGAATCTCCGTAGATACCTTTTAACCGATAGTCGAGGGCATTCCACCTCTCCCCCTTGGGGTCAATTGACTTTTTCAGTATATAAACTATGTATCCTCTGCATGTATCAGAATGCCTGGGCATGAAAACACGTGCACGCTTCTAGCATACTCGTTAGATGTTCATTAGAGCGTTTTATCCTAATTGAACTCCAGTTGAAAACGGTTTAACTTGGTTCTTCATCAGGAAAATAAATAAATAAATAAATAACTGATCAAATAAAAAAGTAGCTCTTACATACGTGGTGAGGCGGTGACCCTGGCGCTATATTGATCGTTCCCGATCGATCAACTTCAAACAACGATAACAAATACCGCTCTATTAATAATTTGTCTCAGGTTTTGGTGGTGATGGTTGGGTTACAAGTCATTTCCATAATCAATTAGCCATTTTAAAATAATACAAATGTATCTCCAATAATTGAAAGGAAACAATGTATATATTTTAATAACAAATAGAGAAAGAAACAGTGGAAAAGCCAGTGAGATAAAGAGTAATAATAAGAATAATTGCCCCTCCCCCCCTCCCCTCCGCCCCTTCTATCCACCCCAAGCCCTCGTACACATTGCTAGCATTGTATCCCCTTTGATAATACATTAATAATAGTAATAACAATGATGATGGCGTAAAAACCGCGTACGAGACTGTGGGATATGTGGGTGTGCGTGTGTGCTTCACCGCTTCGTAAATAAAAGCCACTAACAGAGTAATTTATCGTCGTTGTGCTAATGATACGTTAATATTGATTACCATTATATATTTTTGTATGACAACACGCGTCGATGTGCGTGGGTAATTCTTTTTATTTACTTATTCGTTAATCTTGTTTTTTCCTTTTTCTTGAGTCTTGGAGTCTACGTAGTATTGATTACCTTGAGTGTAAGTAAATGTGATGAATAAAGAGATGAACAAAAAAAAAGGACTGAAAGGAAAGAGGTAACGTGCAAGTGAGAATGAGTGATAAATTGATGTATGTATGAAGCATTGAGAGAGGTCAAATAGTATGAATGTCAAGGTGCCAGGTATATCGATTGAGTCGATTAAATATTTCAATAAAATATCAGGCAAATTGTTAAAGAAGGTGGCCAAACAATATTACCTACTCTTGTAAGGCTAAGTAATCCTTTCTTTACTTACCCTTGCAACCTCGAATTTTACAGTACCATTTAAAGGACCACCACGCTACAATCCGAAGAGACGTTCAGTTGCATTTGGTGGAATGACAACAAGCTGTTCAGCAAGTAATTTGGGTACACTCACGAGGATACCATCGGCCATTGATACACCCTGTGGCACATTAACAAGGACAATATCAGTTGATCAGTACTCATCATCAGGAACACTCAGTAGACTGCCCATTAGTGAAATAAGCAATACAAGCAGTTCGAGTAGAACACCGTCTACGGATAATCGTAACTCGTGTGCAACAATGAGTAGAGTTATGGAGCATTATGCTGGGATAAGCGAATCACATCACAGCAGTTTAAATCGTGTACCGTCCATTGAATCACACAGACCTGACTGTGAAAATTTACAGAGAATACCGTCCGAACAGCAGCTATCAGGGGTTAAGGGACATCAGTTACATACAGCAATCAGCAGAAATGAACATCTGCAGAATAATATTAATCGATTACCGTCCGAATATCAAACGCCAGCATTGCGGGATCCAAATCCGAGGTAAGCATAAAATGTCTTTGCCGAGAAGGTGAACAAAAACGAAAAAAAAAAACAATTTTAAAAATACCAACGAAAACTAGAGAGGAAAACCGAGAATAAATTATCTATTTTTTATCTATTTTTACTGATGAACCAGTTGGCTCATCAATCAATATAGTATATCCATAATCTTCCAAATTGATAAAAACAGGATTGAATAATCATTATATTCACGGGTTACCTACTCTATTCGGCAAAGGCACTTTACGCTTTGCCACGTGTTGACACATATCATCAACGATTAAATCACCTTTCAAGATCACCAAATATCGAGCACTATCAAAACTTGAGAATAGAGGGTTTGACGAGACTCCAGGAGCATCGTATCGAGCTTCAGCACAGACTTGATATCCACGGACGTACCATGGATATGCCACCATCACCGTCTCCAAGCAGTAGGAGTCTAGCGCCATTCAGCTCAGCCAGTTCCAGCATGTCTGAAGGTAGCAATCAGCCGTCTGGTGAGGACTCTGCCAGCATTGTCACAGGTACACACAAGTCCTTCATTCATTATTTTTTTTTTTTTTCGAGAACAGCGAATAACTGGGATGGGATTAAATGAACACAGTACAACGTGATCTGCTGGAGGATGTCGTAACCATCACCACCAAACGAGCGAGTACCACGATGATGTTTTTAATATTTATACGAGAGTGTGATCGAGATTAATAGTTTATTGATGGGATGTTGTGTTGATTACATGTTCCTGTTTAATCTCGCGTTCATTTTCCATTTTCATCTTCAGTGTTGCCCTGCGTCATACGTGTTTTAGCCATTTTTTACCATCAATGTTCCGTTATTTCAAACGATTTTTATTATTATTATTCTACTTTCTTCTAGAGCTATGCTACTCTCATATCCCTCATAATTCATCAATCATGAATAATTTACGAAGATAAATGATAAAATCATTAGTCATAACTGGATAAATATGATATTTAATTATTAATAATATCTCAAGGCTGTTCCAAGCATGTCTGCACAGTGTTTCATGCAGAATTGATTTAGCCAGCTACTCTTTCATGAATTCTCGCGTTTTTAGAGCTAGGTTTAGCCCAACATGAAGCCCTCGTTCGATCCAAAACAAACTCACTGATATAAAAAATTTTACATCGAGTTTGCTTAATAAATTTTCCATAACCCTTGATATTATATTATTATTTATAACCCTCCTTCATTATTTTTCTTTAAATAAATGTATCGATTTACCCCCTTTTTGCGTTGCAGATAAAAGCCTGGGTGACACAGCATCGGACGTCATTAGCGACAGCTCGGGTGTCGGTACATCACAGTCAGACACGACAAACTCACTCTCCATTCCTGGGACAACGGTTGTCTGCGTTGAAAGTTATAGCAGTGGAATTGCAGGACATCTGGCCATCAACCAGGGCGACATTCTTGAAGGTAAAATCCCTCGAATGGAAAAAGCACAAATAATTCCTATAATTTTTATTGAAAGGAGCAGAGGTATCAAATGAATTGGAAAACACTCCCCTGTAACTGTAGTTCGATGCGCGACATCAGTTCCAGCAATTTTAATCACTGTAATTTACCGAGTTGATATTTCAATGGTTCTTTTGCCTTTTTTTTATTCATCAGTCACTGGAGCGACAGATTGTGGACTTCTGGAGGGCGTACTCCGGGGTCAAGGCACAGGACTATTTCCCGCTCATTGCGTGCAGGAAGTGAGGCTTCGACATACCAATATACCACTGGGCCATCAGCTGGCGCGTGAGGGTCGCAACAGGGTCCTGGGACGGAGGGAGTCCCAGCACAAATATTTCGCCACGGCGCCAAGGTTGAAGAAGCCGTAAGCATCAAATTTCATTGTTTTTAAATTAACATTAGTGTGTTTCGTGTTGAAATCGACTTTTATTCTGAAGTATTTTCGAATCACCTGGGAGGTCCATCAATCATAAAAGGGAGGGGTGAGCTCGGTGATTGATTGAGGATTTTTTTAAAAAATTTAGAGTCTCAGATTCCTTCAGAATACGATAGGGAAACTTATCGGGACTTAAAAAAAAGAAACAGAAATTCAAATTTTTTAGAAGAACTTCTCATGATTTTTGAGAATAACGAATATCTTGGGGAATTTTTCAGTTCTCGATTCTCGATTCTTTCAGAATATTTTATAGCGGTCTTGACCCCTCTACAACTTTCTAGAAAATGCATGATTTTTTTTGAGAAGCGGACATCTCAAATTGTCGAGTAAACTGCCCAGTAGATGGACGTTTGTTTTTTAGCAATTGAAAAAATAAAATTGATCGAAAAACATCGCCATTCAGGGAGTAAGAATTACAACAGTTAGTTAAAATTCAAAGCAATAATTCACATTTCAGCACTTTTGCGTAATTTCCTATCCATAAGTAGGTCCATTTATAGGGCAGTGTCCATCTACTAGGTAGTTTACCCTATAAAGTATCATTTTAAGATTTTCTTCGTGTCGTAGAGGAAATATTTTTCACTGCTATTGCACATTTTCGGAATTATTAAAAAAAAATTCAAATTCTATAGAAATTGATTGATTTCGGGATGAAAGGGGGGCAAAATAGAGATTTGATTTAAAAAGACAATTACATTCATCTGAAAAAATTTCATGAATGAATCAATTATTTCATGTAATCGAATATTCGATGACTTATTAATATTATTGTCAAAGTCAAAAGAGTGCGATTTGTCTCCATCTCGCTCGACAAGTCGGAAAAAATTTAACTTTCCATATTTTAGTGATATTTCTCGAAGATTTTCCAAAAAGAACAACCATTGATTAGAATTTTCGGCAAATTTCGACAATTGCGCGGACTAATTATCTCGAAATATAGAAAACTCATTATAATCTCAGTATAATCTCTCTCTACGCCTTCTGCGCAGTTCCGACACTCTCTTACCTGGTATTTATCCGATAAGCTTTATAATACTTTTTTTGCCCCTTACGTGATTATCCGTCCACGCTTAACGTTGCTTAGCTTTCTCAGCTCATCCTGCCCGTTGTGACAGTGCACTAATACTTCAAAGCTCCTTAACCATTTTCCCCTAACGACTATTCGATTATCGAAAAATGTAGTTATCACATAGGCAAGAAAGAATTCTCAGGTCAGAATATGTTTTCTAATCCCGGAACAATTCCACTTGTTTGAGAACTTTATGAAAAAAGAGTAGTAACATTGAAAAGATAGGTAAGTTTGAATCTGAACTGAGCGAAGACGACCTATGTTGCTGCAGTTTTTTCACTTTTATTTTTAATGGAATTCATTGCAAGTTGATGTAATAACTGATCACCGCTCGAGGGTCTTCAGTCAGTCCCAGTATTTCGCGAGATATTTGTTGATAAATTAAATATAATTCAGATATTGTTTTTTTTTATTTTCCATCGTCTTTCGTTGATCTTTGCGAATCAACACAGCACATACTTCAAAGCATACATTTAAATTTTAGAGATGACGAATGGAATCTAATAAAACTGAATTTTACGTCCAAAGTAAAACAAGTGGGTAATTGCTTTTCTATTGTATATAGTATAGTTATTTTTGCTAATAAATTAACAATATGCTTCCGGGTGGTTATTTTGCACATAATTTCCTTCTATCATGTATAACTCATTGTTTATTTCATTTTACTAAATTGAATAAGATTTTTTTTTTACCCAATTTTGTCAGATTTTCAGTGTAGTTGAATGTTATCAGCATCACTATTCTTATTATTCCTTTTCTTCTATACAACCGATTGTCTTTTTTACAGTTCTATCTCTCCCCTCAGCCCTTTCATAAAATGTTAATAGAAAATTTTTATTTACATATACTTGAATGAATTTGAAACATCACATTTGAAGAAACTATCAGACAGCTCACTTTCAGGAAAATTCATGAAAAATTCAAAATTTTCGACAATCATCATAAAAATCAAATCAACCAATATAGCTATCGTAATCATCTTTTAACTTCGACTTAACGGCATTAAAACAATTTTTTAAGCTATGAATGAATTCAGTTAAAGCATAACATTCAAAAATATCCCCGGAATTCTGATTTTCAAAAATACAAAATTTTTGTAAATTTTCGAATAAATCCAAATAACGATTATTGCTATCGCCTTCATCTTCGAACTCGGTCAAAGGGACATCCGAACAAATTTTTCAAGCCATCATTTAATCAATTCATGACATTTTTTTAGCTATCGTGGGATAACCGATTTTTGAAAAAATTAAGAAATTAAAAAAATAATCGATGAATTCAATTTTAATCAATGGCGATCGATAGGGCTCAACAATATCTACATCTGAAAGAAAAAAAATTCTGTTCCATCTATTCATTAGCGAATAATTCATGAAAAACTTTGTCACACACACACACAGACGGACATGGTCTAAAAATTGCATTTTCGGACTTTTTCAATCATAACGGGTCGATATAACACAAAAAATCCAAAACATAAATTTGAACGATTACAATGCTTCTATTATACATAGATTGAAAAAAAAATCCCTCAATTTTCGAAGCAAAAGCGTGCTCCAAAATTCTCAGTTTCCTTGTTACTCCAAACCTCACCTAAATGGGCATTTTCTCTCTTCAACAGTGTTTCTATGTGCAGTGTCACATCGGAACCCCGCACAGTAATCCTCCACCGTTCGAGAAAGGGTTTCGGTTTCATCCTCCGTGGTGCGAAAACGACACCATCAAATTTCCTAGGACTAACCCCCGCTGCTCAGTACCTCGATGACGTAAGTCCCGGAGGTGTTGCAGATTTAGCAGGCCTCCGTAAAGGAGATTTTTTAATACAAATAAATGGTGAGGATGTGACGACAGCTTCCCACGAGCACGTAGTGGATCTAATAAGAAAGTCAGGTGAATTAGTGAGGATGACAGTAGTCTCTCCCGTCGTGAGTCTTCCAAATTCACAATCGGCAGCAGCCCTGCCGACTAGTCAACCAAATCAAAGGCAATATGCAACATTGCCACGTAAAGGTAGTAATAATGTGCCAATGAGCGGTACCCTGGGGCGTTCTCCAGCCCCAATGCCTCCAAGAAGAGACCCCAAAACGACTCTCAGTGTTGGACGAGCTCGAGCTCGTTCCATGGTAGCAGGACTAGAAGGAGGTGGAGAAAAAGATGATCGAGATGATATTGGATCGACTGGAGGTAAATCCAGCAGTGCTGAATCCATTCATATGCCTCAGGGGCCATCAACCGGACCAAACACAGGGCAAAATACCCCTGTGCAGCCCAGAACTGCCAGCATTCGATCTCGACCCACCTCTAGCAGAATTACAGCTGCGGAACTTCAGGTGAGTAACCTGAAAACAATCATTAAATGGAACATGATATGAATTTGTTGAAAAAATATCAATGAAATTTGGCACGAACACGTGATATGCGCTTATCCATTCATCCGCAATGTTCACGAATGTTCGCCTCGTGCACGGATATTTGAGACTCGAGCATCTGCATTGCTTCGATTACAGGAATTGTTTCAACGACAGCAGGGGAGTGTCACCAGCCAGTATGGCACAACCATGAGTTCTCACTTTCAGAGTGACACGACTACCAAGTCACATCCATCATCACCAGCCAAAACAGGCCGGGTCTACGCTAGCGTCGCTGAGATGAAACGAAAGGGCAAAGTAAGATTCTAAGAGCGTTGAACATTTTTTTTCTATCTATTGTTGACTGGAGTTTTTCAGAGGGAAATGTGGTGTAATGGTTTCTAATGCTTTGCGCACGTATAGGCAACGGTATTTTCGCCTCTCGCTTTGGAGGCCAATGAGTTCAGTACCTCAGTGATAAAACATAATAAATCAATTGCAGCAGAAAATCAATTTTTCGAAATTACTTCAAATTTAAAAGACGTTTGTTTGGACCTCGCATTCTGCTCAGTGATGAGGTCCCTACTACATCAGGGATGGCCATCAATCTTTCGATTCTTCAATATAAAAAAAAATTCCGACTTACATTGATGAAGGTTTAAGGGGAGACTACTATGAGTTTTAAAAGTCGCGGGCTATTGCATGCGATTTTTCATACATTGAAGATCGATTGTACATGCCTAAAAATGAATAATTAGTGTAAAAAAATTAATTGTTTATTGATCGTTTACCTCACAGACGCTTAAAATCTTAAAAATAGTCCAGGGTCTCCAATTTTTGAGCTAAGGAGGTTTCTTTCTTTTTCAAAATTTTTGAAAAAATGTAAACTATAACAATTACGAATTAGTTTGTTAAAATTCAATTGCTACATAGCCTCACTCCAATCGCCCGTGACTTTTAAAACTCCTAGTAGTCTCCCCTTAAATATACCAATCTAAATTAAAAAATAGTAAAACAATTGATATTCTAAATTTTTTACTAAATAGATAATATTAAATTTCTTTCTTAAGGGATATCCGGTCATACAAATAATCGTCAATCTTCCTAACTTAATTGCTGATTAATGAATACTTCGAAATTTAACTATTTAAATTGATGATTACTTCAATAATTGAAATTTAAGAGTCATATTAACCAATTAACTACTTAATAATTTAACAGTAATTATCAGTTATAGATATATCTATCCCTGTACGGCACTGATCCTCTAATTTCAAGTAAAATTTTTGAATATTTTCAACATGAACTTATTTGTAAGAAATTCCAAGCATAATTTTTAGAACATTTGATGAAACAATTTGCACCTTGCAACTTATTCAAATTAAATTGACTACTATTTTTACTTTTTGATCCATTCAAAATTAAATTCAATGTAATATTCAATTTCGTCATGACTCTGAATAATGGTTCTGGATTTTTGTTTTTTGGAGAACTTGCCATTGAAATTCTTGTATTAGTGGAATATGATACAAAATCAATTTTTGAAAAATCTTGAAAATTGTAATGTAACTGTCCGTGGAATTTCACTACATTTCTTATAATTTATGAGAAAACATCTAGCTCTCTAAAATTTTAAAATATCCATAAAAAATCCACCCTGAAGTTTAGGTATCTTGCTTCACAATTGTGCTTCTGAATTGACGCGAATGAATTTTAATTTTGACTTGTCCCGGCGATACTACGTTGATGACGTTTTTCAACATAGTTTGATGTGGCCACTTTCATTGGTCACTTGAATGTCCAGATGGATATAAACTCATTATTAGTTGCCCAATTACCTCGGGAATAGTCGTTTTAAGGGAAAAAGTCAAGAGATCTTCTTTATAGCCAATGAAATTTACAAGGGAGGCTTCTTGATTCATGAGACTAGTAATTACCGGAATAATTCAACATTCAACAAGATGAGTTATTCTGCCTCGAATCGTGTTACTTTCCTCCGGCAGAATACCATAAAAATTTCCCAGAATTGCTGATTACTGCCGTACATTAAGGTAGCTTTACCCTTAGGGGCTATTTTTCGATTGAAAAATTTAAAAAATACAAACAATAACTCGAAACCTCGTTGAAATTCAGAATTGTAATTTTTGTCGCCATTTAATTATCGTTTTCGGTTTTACAAATAATAATGTTTAAAACTATTATTTAACCCAGGCTATTATGTGAAAATGACCACATATTGCATACCTCCGTTCAAATAACAAATTAAAATCTGATTTTTTACACAGAATGTGAGAAAACAAATAAAAACATTGGCACTTGTTTAATCACGATTTATCGTTTAGTTTTTATTATTATTAACAATATCTGGGAACAGAAATAGACATGCCAACAACGGCCATGGTTTTGCTCACTCTGCTCGTCTCCCACCTCTGTTCATTCAAAAAAACTGTCATTCATACTTTTAGTTGGAAAAATCAAAGAATGAGATAATTGTTATGTTAATTATCTCTGTAATTCATTTCAATAATTTAGACCTAAAAACAATAATTTTTCCAATTTCTTTTTTGCTTTTTTGTAAGGTCAGAGCTACTTTTGTGACGAAATGAGTTAATTTGTCCTTTAATACTCTTGTTGCAATCCGACCTCGGCTAGTCTCGGTGAGCTCACGGGTGGTTCGCTCAATCGGAGGGATAAGTGAAGGATAGAAGGAGGGTTAATGATATTAAACCGACCGTACTGATGTTGGTAAAATAAGTATAGGTATATTAACTTTAATTTATACACGGTAGTGTTTAATGGGTCGGTATAAGGTGGTTCTTGACTCGACTTTGGGACCTTGACTCGACTTTGTTATTGGTTGGCTGAAGGCTTGAGCTCAGAGATCCGCTCTGTTTCGCTCCTGAGCGTACTCTGCCCTTGCAGAGTCTTTGTAAAAATGCTCAAGACCTAAAATTGCAGAGCAAGCAGTCTCACGGTCCCGAAACACTAAGACAATTAAGTGTCATCATTGACACACAACTAAAACAGTCAAACAGCTTCATTACCGAGAAGCTGGACTCAGATGGCACCGTGAGAGTGCTGAGCTCTGCTCCTGCACGATGAGAAAGAAATCATATTTCTTTTCTCATCGTCCCACATTATAAATTTAATGTAACGTATTATTCATAATACGTCACATTGTATTCAACAAATAACCGACGTATTAATGACAATACGTCACACTTTAAAGTGATAAACTCCAACCAACCAGATACAACGTTTTTTTTTAATATGAAATTATTTCAGTAGCGGGTTTTTTCAATTATTTCAGTATTCTATCAGGTAATACCAGACGAGCTTCTTTAAAACTGAGAAAATTTCCCACAAAACAAAGTTTTATAAGATTTCCTTCTGAACTCATTCCTTATCTAGATAATTGAATAATTAATATATGTGGGAAATGGACGGGTTGACGGTGGCTGGATTGATTATTCTCGATAAAATATCTTTCCAGAAATATGTGCGACAGATCGTCCGTAACTAATTTATCTTCTGTCTTAGTATCTACAACAAAGTATTCACTTAAAAATATCTGCTTGAAAATCTCCATGAAGAATAAATCCCCCGACCCGTAATGAAGACAAAAATGTATTTATTAGAGTCAGACAAAGTTTCGAGGCTCACCTGAACTAGTTCCAGGTTAACTCAAAGTAGTTTGAAGTAACTTGAACTGTAGTGTTGAAAAAATTGAAATTTCATGGACAACTCAGTAAAATGTTTCAGTAGAAATATGACGGACATTTCCCAATTAGCTTGATTTTTTCAATAAAGTATGAATATTCAGTACCAAAATGAACTGAGTTTTAAATAATTTAACGTCTGAGAATATATTCACTTCAATCACGTTTGATTTTTCAAATTCTTTTAAAATTTTCAGAATTCATCAAATTTCAGATGAAATGGGATTTATTACAAATTTCCGGGATTCGATACAAAAAATTCAGACGAAAATTTCCAACCGTACAGTTTGAACTTTTAATTTTCAAAAATTATAATGTGAGAGATAAACACAACAGTCAATTAATCCGAAAATCAATTCCGAATGTATTGTCAAAGAAATACACGGGGAGAAATTTTTTAGAAAAATTCTAGTGCTAGCACGGGAAAAGAGGCGCAAAGTGACGGCACTAGAAATTTTATTGGGGGAAACGTGAATTTTTGTCCGTATTTCTGTGAAAATTTCACAGAAATCCATCGAAATTTTACCAGAAATACCAAGAAATTTTACCTTAACAGCACTAGAATTTTCCACAGCCGGTGGATTATAAATTTTTCCAGTACTCGTACTAGAATTTTTCTAGAAAATTTCTCTCCGTGTAGTTTTTAGACGCACATAAAATAATATATCTTTATTTCTATTGAGAAGAAAATTGCTTTGCAGATTTTGTTTGCTGTCTTTGAATGATTCGAATAATTTAATATCGAATAGTGAATGATATAATTGAATTAGGCCACCGAAATACCAAAAATGTCCAGTAACTGGCCCACCTCCGGCAACTAGATACATGACGATATTATCAGGAAAATAATTTCTGTGGTTCCCGGTAGCTTAGTCGGTAAGAGTGCCCGGCGCGTATCTGGGAGACCCGGGTTCGATTCCCGGCTGGGTGAAGCGGAAATTTTTTCTCTCTAAATTCTAATTCTCTTAGAATTTTTTTTTTAGAACGGATACTTTTTCGTGGAGGTGATGCAGTATTTGATTTCCTCAATTATATCGTCTCCTATAATTATAAATTTTTATTAACAAACGAACTTTAATCACTACAAAATGTAGAAATAAAGTTGTTGAAGTTTTTTTGGTATCAATGAATCAATTAATCTACTATAACTAAGCGGACGAACTGACGGCGGTGGCTGTGTGGTTAGAGTGCGGGATTGGCATGCGGGAGACCCGGGTTCGATTCCCGGCTGGGCGGGCTAAAATTTGTGACACTCTAAATCTCACGGTTTCATCGTCGAGTAGGAGGCTCGCAAGAGACGACTGTACCTGGGCAGGTTTTTCCCTCAAAAAATGAGATTTTCCCTTGTCCTTCGACGAATGCGGTACAGGGGTTTGGGGGGTGGGAAGGGAACAAATCGTTAAAAAAAACTAAGCGGACGATTTTAAAGCTCAACGCATTCAAAGGGATTTGCTATCTCTCAATGAGGACAATTCAATGCAAATCAACTCTTTATGTTTCACCACTTCACTACTCAATTGGAACACAACTCTGAGTATTTGATATCAATTGAAAATCGAAATTGATGCTTCAGAAACTGGAAATGTAAATACCAAACCACATGCGTGTCCAAAGCTTTGTGAAATATGTCACATGCCATTATCGCCAATTTGATTCTCTCTTTTGGTGTTGGTGACGGTAATTTGCTAATTGTTGATGATATTATACACTTAAATCAGTAATCTGCTTGTCAGGACGAGATTATTCCCATATCGCGTTCTATATCCAAAACTAATTATCCTTTCTGAACAGGGAGGAATTCAATAATAATTGCTGATTAATGGACGCTCTTAGGTTCTCAAAGAACATGAAGGTTTTTTTTACTGGAGAATCATGTGCACGTTACCTTGGTAATGGTTCGCCTGTCTGCATGTTTTGTTATAGTGCTCACGAAAATCCAGGGTTTACGACAGGAATCAGCTGAATTATGGCCAGAAGGAGGAGGACTACTTGTATTACTGATTGAATTATTCATTGTAAATTTACAGAGCGTCAGAATTCTTAGCATGACACATCAGGTGATTAGTGAACAAAACCATAAATCAATGGAAAAAGTTGGTCGCGTATGAAAAAATTGTGTAGTGTTGTCTAACAGGAATTCTTAAAGGAATTTGCATGGACGTTGCGGATATTTTCTATAGGAAAATTTTTTGACATTAAAGTTTCTACGAATCACTCCCAACCGGAGTCTGTAAAAATTTCCATTCCACTCGTAGCACCAAATTCCTGTACCTCTTCTATTGAAACTTTCTGAATTCCCGGTTTCCTGTAACGGAAATTGCTTCGTGAATAGATTTACTTAATTAATAAAGTAAATTTAATTTACTTAATTAATTTATTTAATTTTAATTACAGAATACTTCTGTAATGAAAATTATCCTATGAAAAATATCTGATTATTTCCTGCAGAATTTTCTGTAGGATAAAACTATAGAAATTTTCTATACCTGATACCAAAAGTTTTAGATGAAAAAATTATAACACAATTGCATTTACACACGGTGGCTTTTCCTTCACGCTTCGTGTAATCAACAAGCATTTGAGAAATTGAAACGAAAAAAAAATTATTCAACAGAACCTCATCCTCATCAAAATAACACACACGTGAAAAAACCGTTGATTTATAATCGCAGATCCATGAAAAATAGCACGCAATACTCGTGAATTGTCCGACAAATAAAGAAGAATGATCAATTAATATGTAAATGTATTCAATTTACAGTCGAGCTCAAGAGTGCGCTTCTTCGGTGGTCTGGGAGGGGGTTCTGATCTCCATCGAGACTTCCACAGTACTCCAGACCTCAATATTCAAGGACAATCAGCAATACTCGCACCTAAGGGCCATCGTAGTCAAGAGGATGTGAATGCTCTCGGTGGTAGAAATGGTTTACCACCGCCCAATCATCCTCCACCACCTCCACCAGTCGGTCAAGTTATTAAAGTCAATATTGGTGCCAATGTACCAGATGTTGTTACTCCAGCCTCAGTATATGATAACATGGCGCATATACAACAAGTCAAAGGTACAATTTGTTTTCCTCTGTAATTTACATTCATGAATAATCAAAACATTTTTACCTCTTTCTGATGAATAATATTTATGATTGAAGAGTACTAATTTACATTCCAAATTTCTCTAATCGAATATTTCATGGCCAGAAATATCTATACCTATTAGGTAATTATTTCATAAAACATCCTAAAGTGTCGAATCACATCCGTGAATTTGCAGGTTTTCTTCTAAAATAGTGGACAGATTCGAATTGTTCAGGAAATATATAGCATAGTAATTTCATGATGAAATGCGATAATTTTGTAAATTTTCTAGAAAACTACAGATTCGTACTAGCATACTCACAGTCAGGTTCGTTTCGTTTCGCTGAAATTTCACTGAAATATTACAAAATGTTTTTCCTCAAGAATTTGGAATGAATATTCAATGAAGATTTGCAGTATTCAATATGTCTATAAAGAAGTTGTGGAGTTTTTCTTGTGGCTATTTTTGTCTTTCTGAGAAATTGAAAAGGTGTAGATGTAGTTTAAAACTCTCATCCTATAATATTTTCTCCAATTCAATCAAATCAACAGAGAAATATTAAACTTGAATTGTTGTTTGCCCATTTGGTAGCTATCGAAATGCGAGAAACAAAATTGTCCAATGATTTTTTTTTGGTCTTAGCATTTCAAAACCAACTGTAATCACATCGCAAGTATGGAGAACCATCTAAAGACGTCTTAAAAGTATTTGCATTTAGAACTCGTATTAACATTTCGCTGACGAAGTGGTAAAACGGCTTAAGTCGATTTCGACTATTTGTCAGTTTTCAATAAACATCTCAGAATCTAAGGAAGATTGCAAAATTTTTGGTGAAACCTTTTCTATAGTACTCAATTCGCTCTATAAAAAAGGTCATTGCAACAATTTTGTTATTTCCCTTAGATTCGGATATATTTCTCAAAAACTCAGATGAGAGCTAAGTCGACTTGAACCGCTTACCACTTCGCTACAGATTTTTTCAATGTTCCCAAAACAATAGTGGATTTCGACATAAGGCCTAAAAAAACTTTTCTGCCGAATATGAGGCTGTTCATATTCATGAGCTGGAAAATCATCTGAGCTAGAAAATTTTTTTTAGGCCGTGTAACGAATAATATTTTTTGTCATAACGGTCGTGGGCAGCGATGTACGGACGCGTAGCCTTACGGCCGGAATGACAAAAAAAACTTTTAGCTCTAACAAAACATAACTCTAACATCCCGCCACTGATATTCTCTCTGTCCCCATTAGAATTGGCCGCAGCATCACTGGAGAGTAATTACGGTGTAATGTCGAGCTTCCGCCCCTCAAACAGTGCAAAACTGTACGCCTCCCCGGAAGACATGAAGACCGTTGGTTATCGCTCGCACAGTTTGCCCGTGAATTCATCGAGATCGCATCTCCGCAAGTCCCACAGTCTCCGAACCCCCAACAATACGACATTCAAGCCACCGAATGGCCAACAACAGGCTAACGGCGTTGGTAGCTCAAACAATGGCTCAATGAACGGTAACACTGGCAACCAATATGCCCAGCCATTAAAAACCAATCGAAGTCACAGTATGACAGGTGGTCGTGAATCAAAAAAGAAGAACATCTCCACAAGTTCCTCTGCCTCGAATTTATCAGGAGCTGCAGTGCCACCGATTCCCGAGCCCGACTACAGTCTATCAGAATCCGAGAACGACGAGGATGACGAGGAATTTGAGATGGGAGAGGCAGAAATAGCCAAGGAACTTGAAAAGGCAGCTGCTCGCGAAAAATTGGAGTCGACAAGGGAAACCTCTGGCAATTCGAACGCCTCAGGAAGCAGTTCCTCAGGCAGTAGTTCCCTCCCCCACTCCTTCAGTGTCGAGGAGATCCAAAAAGTCAGGACCCAGTTGAAATCCTCAAAGAGCCATCCCAACGAATTTCTCCTGAGCCAACAGACGCAACAATTAGTCGAAGACGGCGATAACAGCTCCAGTGGCGTCAGCTCCGACCAGGACGTGCCAGTTGGCCCTCCGACAGGCTTCGATGATCCCTCCAGAAACGACAATGCCCAGTCCATCGTCACTGACAAAGAAAACAATTCAAAACGAATGAACTACAGCAGTGGAATGCTCACGAGGCATGCCGTCAGTCTGGCCCAATTACCACCCCCCATTGAAGCTGAGACTGAAGACCAGAATAACGATTTATTCGTACCACCACCCCCCGAGTTCAATGCCGGGCCATCCGGCAATGGGGATAATGAGCTTGTTTTTGCACCACCACCACAATTTTCTGATAATCGACAGCAGCAAAATCGTGTTAAAATTATTGGAGCGATACCAAAGGTCGGGAACAATCAGGTTAAACCACCCACGGGACGTTTGCACAGCCAGTAAACAATAACAACCCAACAAATCAGTGCTTAGAATCTTTTTTTTTCTCCTATTTTCCCCCTTTTATCTACTTTCATGCATGAGTTGAGACATTGTGAAATTACTGTTCGGTCAATCCGGCCTAATTAGACAGCGGAAAAAATCATAGAAACGAAAACAATTCCATTATCGTGCGTAGCTCAAAGTCATCATTGATCCATTGAGTATAAAAAATGCGCATGATCGTCTGATAAGTGCGTGAGTAAAGTGAGAACTTGTTTTGTATTACTTCCATTCTTTTTCTACATTTCTATCCTAATCAACAGCTTTTTTATCACTATAATATTCTAAACAATGAGGAGAATATTTGTATTTATTATTGACAATGAAGGTAACAAAATAGGAAAGACGCTGAAATAAAGAAACGAATTTGTGCTTTTCATCAATATCAATGTGGCTTCATGATCAGTGTTTTTCGAAGGAAGAAAGGAAAAAAAATACAGAAAATCTGTGCATGGCTCCAATGGTTGAATTCCTAGCACTGCGTCTAAGCTTCTTCGACGATTTCCCAATTGAACGTATCAACAACTCACGTTTCATCCCCTATCAATTAATTTTATATTCATTTTCTTGTAACTAGAATACTACTACTGCTCAAAAGCCTAATTATGTAAATCTACTCACAAAGTCATTAGAGATTGTTGATAATTTTAACAATGTATTATTAGTTCTTATTAGTTTATTATAAATTACAATTGATGCGAGAAGAAAGCCAAGTAAATGATAATTGCGAATAAATGTTGGTGAATTATAATGATGAGGAAATTGCACCCACCATAATCGACTTGTAAGATAGATCATATTCCTTCCATTTCTCGATAAACAAAATAAAAAAAACGGGCATCTCTGGGAAACTGCGGGGTTTTAGAAATTCCCACTAATTGTTTTTTAAATTTAAATTATAAACAAAAAATTGTATAACCAAGGTATATGTCCTCGAAGGTGTTATCATTAAAATGTTCTTCGTGCAATTTATTTTATTGTATATATAGAAGAAAGATTTTCTCTGTAGCTGTCCTTGGTGATATTTTTTCGGTGTAAAATGATTTGTTTTCTGGATCAAGGAGGGCAAGCTGAAACCTCTCGGCTCTCCCTTCCGATGACAGTATAACTACCATTGTATATATAACCATTGCTACATATTTGAAATATCGATTTTCATTAATTAACTAAGTTTATTATTAATTAGTGAAAAATTAATTAAGAGATAATAAATGAGAAAAAAAAGTTTCCATTGAACGACGTCCTTCCTAAATGAAATCATTTCTTAATGCCTTTTGCAAAAATAAGAAGTAAAAAAGATAAACAAATATAAGATGAAAAAAATCACTGAATTTAAATATTTACACAAAGTACCCGAGTATTAAAGTAAGTCGCTGCGCATGAGAACTCGTTGTAGAATTCATTCAAAGATAGATGTCGATATAGAAATACTTGATGCAACAACAAAATTTAAAATCAACATTGTAATTTAATCCTAGAATCGAATTCTTCCCAGTCATGTCAGTATACATCACCAAAAGCTATGAAAAAAGCAATACATAAATGTATTAAAATCACTCCCAGATAATCTGTAGTTTCCTCAGTTATTTCGTTTCTTTCGCTCGTTTGTGATTACTCCGAGCTCTATTGTGCGATGGCGAGATGAAGAATATATAGTTGCAACATTCCTGCCAAAAGTATAATATAATAATATATCGAAATTGAAAAAAAACGTTGAAAAATGATAAGATGTGGAAATTGACTTATACTGTATCAATATCATTTCTTTGTCAAATGTTTTCTCTCAAGATTCCACGCTACACCATTAGTACGAAATAAAAGAAAAAATAACACTCCCCATATAGAATTCAATATACTACACTATAAATATACATAGGTAATTGAATGTTTGAAAAATTGAAAGAAAAAAGTCATTGAAAACAATTTGATAAATGAATGCGAGATATACAAGTGAAAATGTATTTATATGAAGCACTCGTTCTTTTATTTGGATTTCTTATCTGCTAAATATACGAATTTACAAAGTTTTTTTTTTGTTTTGTACAGTTGATCCCCTCGTTTCACTACTTTGTTGGGTAGGTATACCAGTAATTGTCTTCAGGATTAATCAACAAGTGGATACTAGCTCGTAATCACGAAAATTCATCTCTTGGACGGGAGAATGATAACGAATTACATTGGAATTCACCATTAACCCTCTAACCTGATTATTGTTGCTTTTACTTGTTTTCTCGGCGCTGGAGTGGGGAGGGCCCAATCACACGTGATGAGAGGACCGTGAGAAAAATCTGAAGGGTGCCAAGTGAATTTGAAAAAAGATTCAAAAAAAATTTTTTCTTTCCCTCCATCATTGGAGAAATATGTATTCATCCATCCGACGAAATTTCAAACCCGCAACCGGAACTAGACATCGAGAAAATAAATGCGGAAAATCCTCTATTTCGCGTGACGAACCTCGAGAAAGCATGGGATCAAATGGGTACGGCGGGTTGAAATATCTCTCTTATTCAGCCCGGTACCCCATTGTTTCTTGTCGCCATCACATTGAACACATCATTCCCCATATCTTCAAATTTTTTCAAATTTTTCTTGAGTTCCTAGGGGATTGAAACGTTCAATTTAATCGAAACTCCATAAGAGGCCGTGTATAAGACTGATTTTGTTTATTTAATCTCTCGATATCCATAAGTTCTAAAATTTTAAAATAGTCACCGATGTTCACCATCTGTCTAATACTATTAATTAAAAAAATTATAACTTTGTTGGTGAATGTCAATTTTCAAGGTCATCGCCAAATTCACTTGGCACTCTTAAGAGGAGACTACTATGAGTTTTAAAAGTCGCGGGCTATTGAAAAGAGACTTCTCATGTATTGAAGATCGATTATATGTCTACAAACTAATAATTAGTGCCCAAAACCTAATTGTTTATTGTTCGTTTGCCCTGCAAACGCTTAAAATATGAAAAATAGTCCAGGGCCTCCAATTTTTGAGCTACAAAGGTTTTTTTTTCAAAAGATTTGAAAAAATGGCTGGTATTCTCTTGTCCGAACCCTGAATGCAGTACCAACACAAAAGTATCCAGGGGGAAGAGGTTTCTCACTTGAAAAAAAAATCGCGTATCAAAATTGACTGTGATTACAGCGAAATGATTGTAGTTTCTGTAAACTGTAATTAATATGAATAAAAAATTGTGAAAACCCGAGCCTCAAACACTTTCAAGATGTATTGAAAACTCGAACACACAATATTACTCTTCTGAATTCAATATCTCCCGAAATCCGTCTTTTCCATATTATGAATAATCTGCAATAATCTGCAATCCACTGTTCAAATGTCTTATCGATGATCGGTAATTCAGCGATCATGATTATCTGGAGAACCGCAATTTGATTACCACTGGCATTTGAAATAAAACTCTGAGGGGAGGATGAAATAAATATTTGTTTCAAATATTTGTTTTCACACACATAAACAAATACTCATACTAGAATAACGATGAGGGAAGTGAGGAGAGTAGTGGAACTGTTAGAGGAATTTTTAATTACATTTATATTTCAACGGAACAGATTTATGGTGAAAATATCATGCCCAAGGCACTCTTATACTCTAATTTACCCCAAATCATCTTTCTAAACAACCCAAAATACACAATCAATTAGTGTTTAATCCTTTCTCTTTATTATCACGATACAATAGGCATTTATTGTGTCATTCACAAAGGAAAACAAAGAAAACTGACACGGGAATTCGTTTTTTATCCTGATTAAATTAAGAACACTACNTTCCCTGAGAGGAGGATGAAACAATTGAAGCTGCCTCAAATATTTGTTTTCACACACATAAACAAATACTCATACTAGAATAACGATGAGGGAAGTAAGGGGAGTAGTGGAACTGTTAGAGGAATTTTTAATTACATTTATATTTCAACGGAACAGATTTATGGTGAAAATATCATGCCCAAGGCACTCTTATACTCTAATTTACCCCAATTCATCTTNTGAAAATATCATGCCCAAGGCACTCTTATACTCTAATTTACCCCAAATCATCTTTCTAAACAACCCAAAATACACAATCAATTAGTGTTTAATCCTTTCTCTTTATTATCACGATACAATAGGCATTTATTGTGTCATTCACAAAGGAAAACAAAGAAAACTGACACGGGAATTCGTTTTTTATCCTGATTAAATTAAGAACACTACGAATCATTTCCGCAAGTCATGATTATGCATTAGTTTATACGAACAGGGAGATTTTTCCCAGTTATTATTCAATAGCTGACAGTAACAACTAACTGAATGGTTTTTTCAGTATTTCATAAGGAAATTTACAGGTGACAGAGCCCAATGTCCTAGCGAATTCTAGATATACATAATAAAAAATATCACCTTCATATTTTAATGAAAAAACAATCAATCTCCCTCTATCTCTCCCATCAACCCACAACTAGAAATTCACAAGTGTTTTTAAATATTCATCATCATTATTATCTCTCAGGAAAATTCAACTAATGAGGTAATTCAATTTGTGTGCCCACCAAGTATTAGAAAATATTTTGTAACCACTTAATCACGTGTTTTCTTGGCATTTGTGGCCCAAAAAGACTTCTTATACACTAATTTACGCAAAGAAAATGTTTTACATATTTTAAGGCACATAATAAGAACATATTATCCATTTTCTACTCTTTTGATGTGAAAATAGACAAATGATAGGTAAGAAAACTATAAATCCCAGTAGCGCGATCCCTCAGCCAATCTCAATCTTATGTTTAAAAAAACGTTAATTTCCCTGTATCTTCCTAAACATTAGGAAGATACAGGGAAATTAACGTTTTTTTAAACATGAGATTGAGATTGGCTGAGGGATCGTGCTACTGGGATTTATAGTTTTATTATCTATAATTTATCTATTTTCACATCAAAAGAGTAGAAAATGGATAATGTGTTCTTATTATGTGCCATAAAAAATGTAAAACATTTTCTTTGCGTAAATTAGTGTATAAGAAGTCTTTTTGGGCCACAAATGCCAAGAAAACACGTGATTAAGTGGTTACAAAATATTTTATGCCACTCATGCCTGAAACCGGCTGGATTACACACTCGACGCTTCGCGTCTCGTGTCTAATTCAGCCGGTTTCAGGCTTTGTGACATAAAATTTTGTTGAGTACTTGTTGGGAAATTTCGTCCTTAACGTGTGTGGTTACATCACTCGCCTTCGGCTCATGCTGTAAACCCCACACACGTTAAAGACGAAATTGCCCCACACGTGCTGAAATATACTATTCTAATACTTGGTGGGCACACAAATTGAATTACCTCATTAGTTGAATTTTCCTGAGAGATAATAATGATGATGAATATTTAAAAACACTTGTGAATTTCCAGTTGTGGGTTGATGGGAGAGATAGAGGGAGATTGATTGTTTTTTTATTAAAATATGAAGGTGATATTTTTTATTACGTATATCTAGAATTCGCTAGGACATTGGGCTCCGTCACCTGTAAATTTCCTTATGAAATACTGAAAAAACCATTCAATTAGTTGTTACTGTCAGCTATTGAATAATAAATGGGAAAAATCTCCCTGTTCATATAAACTAATGCATAATCATGACTTGGGGAAATGATTCGTAGTGTTCTTAATTTAATCAGGATAAAAAACGAATTCCCTTGTCAGTTTTCTTTGTTTTTCTTTGTGAATGACACAATAAATGCCTATTGTATTGTGATAATAAAGAGAAAGGATTAAACACTAATTGATTGTGTATTTCGGATTGTTTAGAAAGATGAATTGGGGTAAATTAGAGTATAAGAGTGCCTTGGGCATGATATTTTCACCATAAATCTGTTCCGTTGAAATATAAATGTAATTAAAAATTCCTCTAACAGTTCCACTACTCCCCTTACTTCCCTCATCGTTATTCTAGTATGAGTATTTGTTTACGTGTGTGAAAACAAATATTTGAGGCAGCTTCAATTGTTTCATCCTCCCCGCAGTTTTATTTCAAATGCCAGTGGTAATCAAAGTGCGGTTCTTAAGATAATCATGATCGCTGAATTACCGATCATCGATAAGACATTTGAACAGTGGATATTACAGATTATTCATAAAATGGAAAAGACGGATTTCGGGAGATATTGAATTCAGAAGAGTAATATTGTGTGTTCGGGTTTTCAATACATCTTGAAAGTGTTTGAGGCTCGGGTTTTCACAATTTTTTATTCATATTAATTACAGTTTACAGAAACTACAATCATTTCGCTGTAATCACAGTCAATTTTGATACGCGATTGTTTTTTTTAAGTGTGACACCTCTTCCCCCTGGATACTTTTGTGTTGGTATTGCATTCAGGGTTCGGGCAAGAGAATACCAGCCGAAAAAATGTGTACAATAACTACGGAAGCCCGGTCGTGCCATCGAGCGGAGAAAGTGTGAAACCCAGGTGCATTTTGGGTTACTGACATATTCCGTCGTAATCTTGGCTTGGTTGGCTTGGCTTGATGCTGCCCGATCCTATTTGATGGACAATAGTAGCGAAGGACATCACGATAAATATTTCGAAATAAATCCCGAGAATTGTTTTACAACAGAAGGAGTTAATGAGCAGAAGCAACGTCGTTCTTTATCCAAAAGTATGTAAAGATATAATTTCACAAATTATTCATGATTGTGAGGTGTATGTATACACCATTACCTTCAAACTAATAAGATTTAATGAAATCATTCGCATCAAAATACTCTGATCACAAAAAAAAATCGAATGTAGCATGTGACATGCTTATTGTTTACGCAATAATCTCAGTTATTATTGGGTTTGGGGGGAATTTCTGGAGAGAAACATTTTCTGGGGGCATGTAGTTCTCTACCATGGATGGGCCCTTGTACAGAACCATGTGCTCCCCAGAAAATGTCTTTTAACATTTTTAGATGAACCGAAGGGGACCTCAAACATTTGACAAATGAAAAGGGACTAAATATTCCATTGAAAGAAAAAAATTAAAATCTTTTTACCTCTT